GTAGCAGGGGGAGGTGGAATGGGATGGGTGCAGCTGAGTTGTTTTTTAGGGGATTTTTTTTCTCTTTAAATGGCCATTTTCCTTGTTGGCTCCTTCTGTGCACATGTATACACACACAATATTTAAGTAATTTTTTTTTTTTTATATCTATGCATATAAAATAATTGTTCTCTTCTGCAAGCAGTAGCGAGGTACTCATCACACCGCGGGGCAGCTGTGCAGGCAGTTTGAGGGAGGCCCACACGTGCTGGGTATCGGCACCACCAGCCTACACCTCCCCAAGCCTTTCTTTTAGAGGGAAAAAGTTATCGTAGCCCTCCTGGAGCTGTAAAAGAAATAAATCTGTGCTGCACACAAAGTGAACTGAAGTTGCCCTCTCAAATTTAGTGAGCACCTGAGAGGCAAGAGCCAGCAGGTGTATAACACCCTGCATTCCACCTGAGCCCCCCCATCTTCATTAAACAAAAATTACGCACACTTCATCTTCCTTAAAAGATGTGGCCCATGGGAATCATGGTTTAGTGGGACTTGCCAGTGTTAGGTTTACGACTGGCCTCAATGATCTTAAAGGGCTTTTCCAACTTAAATGATTCCATAAAAATCATGTTTCATTGTAATGTGGTAAATCAGTGCAGCTGAGATGCAGGTGGGAGGGGAGCCTCAGTTTTGCTCCCTTGGTTTCAGCAACGTGGTCCTAAGCCTACTCATCCACCATCCCACGTTGCAGCTGGGTCCAGGATCTGCTTTGGAGTTTGGGTCGCCGAGGGGTGCCTGTGTCCCCCAGGGGAATTTCCCCCCTCTGATTTGGGCACCAAGCAACCAACAGTGCCTGATGCCGCAGCCCGGCGGCTTCTCCAGCATCCCCCACGTGACAGTTTGGGCTGTGGGCATTTCCCAGTCCTGCTCCTGCAGATGCGGGGCCGGTCACTGAGTCCGGCTGGCAGTGGGGGCGCGGGGGAGACCTTTTCCTGATCACATCAAATAATGGCTTTGCCCTTAATGCCTGGCTTCATTTTTTTTATTTTTTTTGTTGCATTTCTCCCAGCCCTGGAGTTTTTTTGAAGGTTGACAAGCACAGCTAAAGTGGGAGCAGCCAGTTTGCTGGAAAACAACTAAAATTGTGTTGGTTTTTTTTTTCCCTCATCTCGGATAGAAACCCCCTGGAAAACAGCATCGTGACTAACCAGCACATCGCCCACCAGTGAGCCAAGCGTCGCCAGGCCTCATCCTCCCTCCACTACCCATGGGTTGGTGCCAGCGGTGTGGGCAAGATGTGACTCGCACCCGTCAGCAGCTGAGCATGGGCTAGGGAGGGTCGTGCCTGGGTTTTGCAGGGAGACCCCTGCCCACCCACCCCCATTTCAGCAGCAGCACACCCGCACTGCGGGGCTTGGGTGGCAGAGCAAACTTCTCCCACTGTGGGCTTCCCCGAGGCTCGAGCAGGCGCTGCCGCCCCAAGCACAAGTCTTGGCAGGCAAAGCGGCACGCTCAGCTGGTGCCCGGCTCCAGGAGCAGGCGCTGGCGGGATCGTGGGGCTTTTTTGGGCAGCCCAGTTGTGAAACAGCCGCCTGGGTGACTCAGTGCCTCACGTCTCAAGCAAGAAGGCTGTTGGGTGCAAGGCTACTATTAGTATTATTTATTTTTAAATAGCATTTGCTGGATGATGGTGCCGCACTGAGTGTACCGGGGCTGGTGCCACGGTGCTGAGACACCAGGTTACCTGGCGCAAACCCGATGAAGCTCCTGCTGAGTGCTGGCGGCTGCCTCTGCACACAAGTGCCTTCTCCAAAGGCACATGGAGCTTCCTTGCCTTTAACTCAAAGGCCAGGACTTGGGTGGGGGAAGAGGGGCAGAGGGAGAGAACAGTGCCCAGCTAGGGCTGTCCTTAGTTTTTATGCTTGATGCTTCACGGACCTGAAATAATTTATGATCTGTTTGCTGTTATCAGAGTATTTGCTCTAAGTTGAGTCCTCACTTGGAAAGCTTTGCTTTTAAACCCTCCCCGTGTGGTGGGGAGCTGGGACAGGCGATGATTTGGACGCCCTTAGCGGTACCCGGCCGGGCAGGGGTGGGCAGGGGTGGGCAGGGCTGCTGCTGGCTGGGGTGGCTGGCCGCCGGTTCGGGTGCAGGACGTGCTTTGGGGACACAAAGTGTTACAGCTGAGCATGAATTAAATTATTAAAAAAAAGTGTTCTAAGTTTCAGGAGACGTATACCCACTAACACCACTCATTACAGTTATTTTGTAGATAGCCTTTCTGGCACGGTGCAAAGAAAACAGATGATTACAGCTGCATAAGTAGCCATCGCGCCTGGCCATTTGTGGTTTTCCCTGTGCTGACCTCTACGTTAGTCAGTCACTGCTAATTCATGTGCTCGGAGTAGCAATTAATGCACATAAAATCCCACATTGGTTCCAAACCTGTTTTGAATTTGTCAATAAAAATCTGTCGGTGGAACTCCCAGCCGAGGAACCTGCTATACTGGAGAGCTCTTCTTTCATGTCGCATGGCCGAGCACAAAAAGCTGCGGGGAAGGAGGAGGGTGAAAATGGTCAGAGGGCTGAAGCCTAAAGGAAAACATATGCCCAGTTCCAGTTAAATCCCTGTTCAATGCTGCTTTTTTTTTTTTTTTTTTTTTCCCCAGGACAGACAGGACTTTTCCAAGAAAGCCATAAAAGGATTTTTTTTTTTTTTAAATGAAAAACTGTGATTTTAGGAAACGGCATTCTGGATCTCCTGTACATTTCTAGTATCACTTCCTGTATATTTTTAAGCTGAAATCCTCTTAGCATGCAAAGTAAATAGATTATGATATACTGAAGGATTAAGAATCACTGTCTGGTGTCAGATTAATCCCTCATATAGACCATCACTTGTACTGACAGAAATATGGCTGCAATTCAGCAGAATAGCTGTACGGCAAAGCACCGCACCGCAGCTCCTTACGCAGAGCAAGCGCGCGATCCCCGCGGCCCGTCATTGCGCCGGGCGCATTTCAGGAGTGCAGTTTACATCTACGGGGCATTAAAGGCGCGCTCCCCCGCGAGCGCCGCGCGAAGCAGGGTCCTTCCAGGCAAGGCTCTGCGCGGGGAGGCGATGCAGCAGCCTGCTCTGTTTCAAAGCTCTCTTTATTAATTTTTCCCTGTTGAGCGTAAAACAAAAACCTGTGCATTGCAGCCCATTCGCTCCCTTCAACTCGCAAAGCAAAAACTCTCCTTCAGCTTTACTCACGGAAAGGCGCCGATTCAGATAAAGTGCCAAAATGGGTTGGGAGTTTTTCTGGTGTGATCAAAGT